GAGCTTCTGATGAAGACTTTGCCGATATTTCAGCTTTTGGTAAATTGTCCGGATATTCGCTTACTTCAGAATTATTCTGATCGTGACATTTTGTCACGGTTTTTGATGCCACCTGATTTATGATATGTTGAATTTGAATATCTTTCAATCCCGAAATAGTACTTGCACTATATGTAATGTAATTGATTTTATCTATACCTACTCCTCCTTTACCAAATAGCTTAAGAATTTTTCGAGCTCTTTCGGTTTTCTTACGCAAATTTGCATCTGTAATATTAGGTTGAAAAGGATGTCAAATCCATAAGGGATGCTCGCAGTATGTTCGCAATTAACATAAGGACTCGGAAAACTGATTTGTTAGTTCTGAGACTATCAGACGCAACTGAAATTTTACACGTTGAAGTATCTGGACCACCTTACAAACCGGAAAAGAAACATACAGTTGGAGACGCAAAAAAATTACTCATGATGGCTGTTTGTAATTTATGCAGAATATTGGCGAACAATTTCGATTGTCCTATTGAAATTGCCAAGAAAGTCAGATCGTATTGTATACAGGCAATTGGGGATAAATTGACATTATTTGCCGTATCACTTGTTGACAAGAAAAAATATTTGGCCATCGAATTGGCTTCATGCATAATTCCCTTTTCGCTTAAAACCATTGGATGCTACACAAGAATCTTTAATTTTTTCAAGATCATAAGGAACGAGTTTATAGAACAAGAAAAGCTTCTAGAAAAAATTTGTTCTTTTGTGCCCTCGATCGATGATAATACCAGTGACCTACGAGAGTGGGTGCATTTACCGGATGATGATCTAATACCCGTAAATGAAGAAGAAATAGACGAACTTGTTTTAAATGATACTTAATAAAATTAATATACTAGAATGTGATTTTTTTTATTATGCAATTATTATTATAATAGGTTTCATTGGTTATAGAATTAATTTGTCGTAGTAATGAAATAATAATAATATTTTTGATTTTATTATGAGATGGGAATAATTAGTAATGGTGTTACATATATTTCTTTACATGTAAAAATCATATTTTCTGTGTATTGCGAGTCATTAATTTGATCCCGGCACATGAAACCATATTTTTAGTCTCATAATTACATGTTGCAATTCTGATCATTATCTATGATAATAAATGACATTTGAATAATTCGCATTTGTATAAAAGTTATCGTTAAACATGCAATCCGAAATTGATTTATTGAAACAAGAGAACACTAGACTTATGGCTAGAATTGCAGAATTAGAACAGATCGCGAAGGAAAAAAATGAGCTTGAGGTTAGAATTGTGGAATTAGAACAGACTACAAAGTTAAATCAAACAGAAAATGCCGAGCTCAAGAATGAAATTGCAAAATTAAAACGAGCTGTTAAGAATATTGAAAAGCAAAATCGAACAGTTACTAATGATTTAGCCCTACAAGCCCTGCTTTCGCGGATATCTTCGGAATATTCCACTCCATTACCTAACAAGAGTTGCTCAAATGGTGAAAATGCGCAGATTAAAGATTCTTCAGAACAGGTAATTAACACAATTTCCAATACATCTAACCTTAATGAAACTTCTTTCGAAAAATCCAAATCATTAGAAGATAAAGAAATTGATGTCTTTTTAGATTCGGAAAATAAAAAAAGGGTTAGTAATGAGATAAGGCAGAGAAATATGAAAAAAAAGCTATTACAT